TCTTTTTTTACAAACAAACAAAAAAGATTTTTGAGCTACATAATTCAAAGAGAAGTAATAATCTAACTCTGAACAAGGGTTTAATATCCCAAGAGTTGTGCTGAAGCAAACCTTTTTAGTCCAGCTGTCAGGATTCTGGTGTTATCCCAATTAAATCATAAGTCTCGAGTCAAACTCCCAAAACTTCAAAGGATTTATTGGAAGTCAACATGTTGGCATGACCTGGGCATCGCCGACTCTGTGACACATAATTCACTGTCATCCTTAACCCTGCTTTTGTCCCCACCCCTCTGGGTATATTATAATTCATATTCTCCAACGAAACACATCCATAGTCAAGAGTCATCAATCACGCTCTCCACGATTTCCAGATAACTCCCTCTTCTTTCTGTTGGCAGCTATAAAACGTGTGTAGAAAATTGTTTTATGAATTGACACCAGCATTTATTTCCTGCAACAGCTATTGCTTCTACGGTTGCTTCTAGGGTCCTCAAATTCAGAAGGGGAAGACATACTATCCTACCCTGCAACTGGGAATTGGGGGCATCCTGCCCCCCATCTCAGCATGAAGCCTGAGTCTTCAAGACTAACTGCTCTTGGCTGACTTGCCACCATAATTTGGATAAATGCTGCATTAAAGTCGTCCAGGTTAGTGGCTGTCGCCATGCCTGGTAGTAATTCATTCCACAGATAAAGTATGAGCTATGTGAAGTAAGTTTTATGTTGCCTTTTCTATATCTTTTCTCCAAGTAGCTTCACAGGATAAGCCCTGATTCTATTGCTTTGAAAGAGAGGGAAATGATTTTTTTAAGGTTTTCCTTTTATGAGGTTCCATAGAATTAACTTTCAATTCTAAATGTGTATTTAAATCAAGTCACGCTCTGTAAACCCTGGTTTTTCAAAGTTCCTAGGTGACCATTTGTTTCATATACTACATACAAACTTCCCTAGAGCTGGAATCAGTAGGAAATTGCAGGCCTATTCTATAAGTTTTCAGTGATTTTGGAGGGGAGAGATATATTTGCATGTCATTGCTACCAAAAGTATTCATATCCTTTTTATCTGTTAGTCCTATAAGATAGGAGTAGTGGCTTTACCTTTATTGTAAGGTTACATAATTATCAGAATCGTGCACAACTGAAAATATTTTCCCATCCTTTCATTTACCCTGAAGAAAATTATGAAGGTCCCTTCTGAAACATTTAACATCATCCCTTCTCTCTTCTTTGCTCGAGACATCCTTTACAAGTCTGTGGTCCGATATGAGGCTTTTCCTCCTGTCTCCCAAAGTGATTCTCACATACCAACATAGCCCAACATGTGACTTTAACCTAAGTCATTATTACTCACACAGCCCAGGGATTGGGGACCCATGATGTAAGACATAGGCCATCTGAGACCTTCGGATCTCAACTCTCCTAAACCTGATTATGGGATTGTAGTATTTAAAGTACACCAAAAAGTAACCAATTTGATTACTGACGTCCTGCTGTAATGAATACTAAGATAAATATTTGGGAGTATTTGTACCTCAGATGGTGACGTTGTCTTCTTTTATTTAATCTGCTTCCATTTTTACATAGCTGCTACCACCTGTTCTTTCCCCTGAATCTGTTTTTAGAATCCAGACTCTGAAATCTGTCCTTTGGCTGTTTGGTGCGACATAAATAAACACTGATTTGATTTTGCCACCAGAGATAGTATCCATTCAGCAATTCTTAGGTTAATTTAACTGTATGAAATAAGCAAATGAAGATATACTTTTTCAAAATTTCATAGTTATGAAGAGAAGCATAATATCACCATCCAGAATCCAGGTTTTACAGCCACATCCTATCAGTGTCAATGCTGCATAGTAATATATCTTTTCAGGAATCAGAAATATTTTTTGCAGTCCTTGATGGCCACTGTGGATATTTTCTTACTCATGTGATCTTTGGATACATGAAGACTTTTTACCACCCCTATACAGTTTAATCTAATCATCATAAACTCCATTATCTGGATTGAACTACTCTGACAAGTACACCAGGCGTTGTCTGTGGAGATTCTCAGTCATCCAGGTCATAGTTGTCTAAAAAGTGCTTTTTCAAAAGGCAACTGGATTATTTGTTCCTCAAGCAACAAACAGTCCAGTTGCCTTTTGAAAAAGCACTTTGTAGGTATACTAAGCAACAATTGTGCAAGGCAATTCAGTGTATAGGTGGGGCTGACCTCTTTTATCACAGGCACATCAAAACAGGATGCTCAATGTGCGTGCATCCAGCAAAAGGTTACTGGACATTCAGATGGCAGGTTTAAGCTTACTATTTTTTTTAAACATTTCCCTTAGGTATTCCCTGCAGTGAAGCATACGAAGGCAAGAAAGACACAGCATCAGACAATATCTCAAGTAATGCTAAAACTAGACAGGAATTACTAGATCTAAATAGCCCTGAAACATTCTCAGGATACCAAGTGTACAAAACAGTTTTATATTTTTAAAGGGAAATATAAATTAGAAGGAGACCAATAATACCTAAATATTTGGGTTAGAAGCACTTCCTATTATCCCAAGACCCTAAGGCTGTGATTATTAAAGAACATATGCATGTCTGAAAATATGCATGTGATTTTTAAAAAGTACTTCTGCTTAGACTGTCCTCTACCCAACTTAAATTTTAAAGTCTAAATTGCCAATTTCCCTGTGCAGATGGGACTTCTCTTTCTGACCTACATATGGTTTAGATTACAACTCACAGACTGACCATTTCCTCACTAGCAATTTCTAACAAAATCCAGCCCTCATTATGGAGATATAAAGTCTGTCTCATTAATCTTACATAGCCATTGACTGGGTTGCAATTTACAGAACTGACAGGCACCATTTTGAGAATCAGAAAATTTTTCACCCAAATGTAATTTCCATTGAAGTCAGCAGGGACCCTTTTCCAGTCCATCTGGATAGGATGGCTCTCTTCCACTTGGACCAAGTAGTACTTTTTGCTTGTTTCCCCTTCGTTTCCCTCAGCCATTTTGAAGTGTCTTCTACATTGCATAACAAAATGCTTTTAAAACTCTACTTATATTTGCCAAATCAATTTGGAACTGCTTGTCCCAAACTGTAAATGCAAGCCCCCTTTCCTTTTCGACTCAAAAAACAAATGACTGATATGTTTCAATCCTGGCAGTATTCCATTCTTCCTGCTAAAGAGGCTTCCCTAACTTTAAAAAGTGAATTTCCTTCTCCAATAAAAAGCCTCCAGACTACAGTTCCCATAACTCTGAATCAACATGAGAATTTGTAGACTTAATCTATCTGGAAGTTATTAGACTGGAAAAGACAATCACCTCTAAACATCTAGGATAAGAAAATATATTTGTAAGCATAGAACATACATATTCAAGACAAAAATACACAGAAGACAATAGAAAAGCCCAACTGAATTTATGGAACCAATTCTCTATGTGTTTTGATAAGATTAGCTATATTTATCTTTTCCATTCTTAAATGGATGAAAAGGAAAGTATATGGAAATTGGCAGAATAATTGTTTTTGTACATGAGTCACATGTCTAAACTAAACATTCAAAGAAAGAAATACATCAGGGAACAAGCTTCGACTAAATCTTCTTACGATGTTCCCAGGAAGATCTTTCCATGGCCTCCTACTACATTTTCACAGATACCCATCTCTGGTGAGAAAAAAATGCTCAACCCAACCACTCAGGACTTAATCACGAACGTAAAAGGATGGTCGCGTGATAGTACAAGCTGTTAGTCCCTCTTCGGCTCATAACCCAAAGTCGTATCTCTTCTATCCACAAATCTGACCATGGATCAATTCTGAGTTAGCCATCAAAACTGTGAATTTCAATGCTGGGCAGTGAGAGTAGCAGAGTTAGAAACATCTGGGAGGAAACCAGTGTCTGAGATACATGGAGAGATAGATAAGAGATTCTTTCAAGATCCTTTCATCCATGGAGAACATGGATATTACTAAAAAGGGCAAATGGGGGTGCCGTACACTCTCGGCTGCTATAAACTGCAAAAAATGGTGGGGGGGTGGGGGTTTGAAAGTGAATATGGCTGCCAAGAACAAATCAGATGCAGGTGCAAAATCTCAAGCCTTGGGTTGTTTACATATTTCCTCCCTGCTGTCACTACTGGAGCGTGCGGGTGTGTGTTTTTCACCAAGAAGCAACAGCTGCACTTGTTCTACTTTGACAGAATGTCGAGCAATTTCTGCCCACAAAGTGGCACAATTCAGACAACCCACTGCCAACTTCTCCCAACTCCCAGTGGACAAGACCCACAGGACTGGTGGTGGTGGTGTGCGTGTGTGTGTGTGAGAGAGAGAGAGACAGAGAGAGACAGAGAGAGAGACAGAGAGAGAGAGAGAGAGACAGGCAGAGGTGAGGCAGAAGCTGAGAAGAGAAAAGTGGTGTGTGAATTGGCATCAAATCTGCTTTGGTAGTTGGGAGTCACTTGCTATGGTTGGCTCACCAAGGGGTGAGTTGGAAGAGGAAAAGTTCCTCCTGGAGTTGAATGCATGGCATTCAGTTGAATGGCCAGCCTAAGGGGTCCTCAAAGTCACAGATACAGAACTAATAAGTTACGTGTGTGTGCCCTTACATTGTTGCTCACTATAACCCAGATAATTTGTATTACAGTTCCTACAAGGTAGAGAGGGAAATGATTTTAAAGGCTTTCTTTTATGAGGTTCCTTGGTTCAATAGGTCCCCTTGGGGAGGTGGGGAGAGAACAGGGGGAGTTCTGGGGGAAAGAACTAGCAGGATCTCTGCCCTATGCCCCCCTCCTCAAACTCATCCGTGGGAGCAAGAAGATAAAAGATTCAGCCAGCCCCCATATCTGCCACAACTCAACAAGGGGCGTGGGGAGAAATGTTAAAGATCATCATAATTACTTTGGGTTCTGTTTTCAAAGGCACATTTTCCCCTCACAGTTAAAGGCACAAGACTCATCACAGACAGCCAAGGACCGCAAGGCGTGAACCATACCCCCAAATCCGGGACGCAGCCTGTTATCATAGCCATCCAAGAGACGGTCCAGGATGCGTGTAAAATTCTCCGGCCATAATTTCTCTTCCTTTCGGAGCTGTCCCGGGAGCGTGGTGAGACTGGAAGTCAGGAAGGAAAAGAAAGCTTGAAACCAGGGGCAACAACAGACGAAAATCAGGAAAAGGGAGCGAGAGAAAACCGCCACCATCGGGGGGGGGGGGGGGGGGGGGGGGGGAATGGATCCTTGCCTCGCTGGTTCTTACCCACCACTCCCGATTTTCTGCCCTCCCCTCCCGTCCTAATTCTGGGCATCAGGTGCAGGTGCAAGGCAACCGGAGAAGCAGCAGCGGTGGCGGCGGAGAAGAAGAGAAGCGAGGACTAGAGTAGCTTACCAGGTCGCCCAGCACAGGAAGTGTACGAAGATGATCGACAGAGCCGACAACATAGCGACCGTTGGCTCCTTGGCAGAAACCATCTTCGCTTGCCATCCTTCAAGGCTGGTGGTGCGCGTTTCCCCGTCGCTTAAACGCCTAGTCCGGAGAGGAGATCACCCGGCCGCTTTAAAGGAGGAAAAAGGAGGAGGGGGGAAGGAAGGAGCCGAGCGGGGTGGGGGGGGGGGAAAAGGAGAGGAGGGGGCGGACGATCCTGCCACCAGCACACGCAACGATCTTCCAGCCTTAGACAACGATCCGGTGCACGCCGAAAGGCAAAAGCCCCGCGGAGGACTAGGAGGAAGTAGGGCCCGCTCCTCAAGCCGAGCCCCCCCACGCAGCCCAAAGCTACATCTGGTCGACTCCCTGGAGCCGGAGTACGTGAGCGCCTGAGCGCGTAACACCGCCTGCGAAGTCCTTTTTCCCTTCACTCTTTGAGGGGATCCCGAGCTTTCAAACCCCACCTCTTCCTCGGGGGCCCCTCCTTCTCCTCTTCCCATTACTACTATTCATCTCCCGTACATCTAATTTTTGCGTCGGTTTTATTGATGGATTGATTTGTTTGTTTGTTTGTTTGTTTATTTTAGCAAGATTTGGGGGTTAACTTGATTTCGTGGAGTTCTCTGGGCGGATCGGCATAGATAACTATGCATATACTTATACCTATTATCTTGTAAGCGATTGACAAAATAAATAGATAGATAGGTAGGTAGGTAGGTAGGTAGGTAGATTGGTAGGTAGGTAGATAGGTAGGTAGGTAGATAAGTAGGTGGGTAGGTAGATAGATTGGTAGGTAGGTAGATAGATTGATTAATAGATGGGTAGGTGGGTAGGTAGGTAGGTAGGTAGATTGATTGATAGGTAGGTAGATAGGTAGGTAGATAGATTGGTAGGTAGGTAGATAGGTAGGTAGGTAGGTAGGTAGATTGATTAATAGGTAGGTAGGTAGGTAGGTAGATGGATTGGTAGGTAGGTAGGTAGGTAGGTAGATTGATAGGTAGGTAGGTAGGTAGGTAGATTGATTAATAGGTAGGTAGGTAGGTAGGTAGATGGATTGGTAGGTAGGTAGGTAG